GGTGGGTGGGTGTGTGGGAACGGCAGAATATAAGAAAAAAATAAATTTTATTGTTTATATGGAGAAATAGTAAGAAATAGTAAATTTTAGGAGAGAATTTTTCACCCTAAAGTTAACTTTACGTTTGTCGGAAGATTTACGATAGTAGAGTGATTATTTAGTATCTTAGCGTTATACAAAATTTTAACAAACACTTGGATAATAGAAGCATCGAGTAGAGATATCATTGATTTTACATGAAAAACTCAAAAGAGAAAACTAGGAGACTTTGTCCAGACGGAATAATCTATTATGAATTAGTGTTTACATTACCAGACTTTTGTCCCACATGAAGGAAAGGGTCATACAGTTCCTCCGGAGGTTGCATTTAGGAGTAGTTTATAAAAACTCGGTATACCGACTTTGAAAGTGTTGTTGCGCCGTGCTCAGGATAATGTGTTGTTTTGTAAGATATTTTGTTACTTCGTGGCGTTAGTGGTTACTTTGCAATGTTTCACTAATTTGCAACATACGTCTTGGAATCTGCACAAGGTTTCAATGCAATGAGCACGAGTCGATCGACGACAGTTAGCAAGCAGTGGTTGGCAGCAGCAAGAGCCGGAAGCATTCGTCGGATCTTCGGTCCAGAATGACACTAAAATTCACCTTATTCGCAAACACGCTCATTGTCTAGCTATTTGCATGGTTAAAGACATAGGTTCTTTTTCATGAAGTGGGTAAGATTTTATTTATAAAATTTGGGAAAAGTCTCTCTGCAAATAAGAAATGAATCTGAACTATTCCATCGGACTGCCCAAAGAGATTCCCTCCATCAGTGTCATAATGGTTGAGTAATCTTAGACTTGTTGTACTCGTCTCATCGAGATACTCGATTCGATTATAAGTTTATCAGATTTGGAATTTGTTTGATCTTTCAAATTAGTACCAAAAGCTTTCAAAAGCAGTTTAATGATTTCGATCCATATTTGATTTTATTTGGATTGGAATAATTTTGGTGTCATTGTGGTTGTATAGTGGAGCTCGGTTTAGTGAAATCGAAGTTCTAGATGATATTTAATTAAAATTTATATATTTCTTATTCAAAAAAATTTCTGATATGCGTGTCAAACGAAATTATTTTCTTTCATATATATATATATATATATATATATATATGAATCATTGAGGATATTCTCATGAAGATTCCGCTCGGAATACTCGCTGCACCTGTTCTTTGATAAATTTACAGATATTTTATATATCGATCTACTTCCTAACAGCGAGAGTATTAAGAGTATCTCGTGATTGCATATTGTCCTCAAAACAACAAACCATCAAAAAACTCAATACTCCTGAACTCTAATGTTCATCCTTCTAAGCCGCCTAACCTTCAGATCTGTCCGGAGAATCCGATGACTTCCTCCTTTTTTTTAAAAAAAAAATTCCCTATCCTTTAATCCATCTATATTTCTCCCCCCATTTTCCATTACGAGTCTAATCAAGCAAGAAAATCGATTCAGGGATTAGCCCTACGGAGCCGATCAGCCTATTGTACCCTAAATCATCAGCAGTGAACAGATGAAAAGGAAGAGAAATTAAAGAGAGAAAGAAGAACCTGGTGCTGGCGAAATCGTAGAGCCTATCGGTGCTGGAGAAGACGATAAGTCCGACCTCTGCATCGCAGAGGATGGCGAGCTCTCTCGCCTTCTTCAGCAACCCATTCCTCCTCTTCGAAAAGGTCACCTGTCTTGTCGTCGTGTTGTCGATCCTGCTCATCACAATCTTCCCTCTTCCCATCTCCAAACACTGTCTCCCCCCGTCTCTCTCTCAACTTTCTGGAGGATAAGAAATTGTTGAGGCTTTATTTATAGGAAGGGGGAGCTAATGGAAGATCCATACTAGGGGGGAGTTAGAAGAGGGACTTTTATTTTAATTTCATTTAAACCCTCTTTTGGGCAGTGGTGTCGAACTTGACTTGAAAAATCCGGATCAGAGTTGACCCAAACACTTTTTGAGTTGGATTCGAGTAAGAGAGCTTGACCCGTTTATTATTCAAGTCGGGTTCGGGTTGAACTTGAAAACTCAAACATGACTCGAATAAGCACGAAAGTTCAAGTCTGGCGGGTTCCCGGGTCAAGCTTGGGTTCGGGTCTTAATTTTTGACCCATTTTTTATTTAGGTCGGGTTCGTCTTGACCCTATTCAGGTCAGATCATTTTCAAGTCGAACTCGAACCCGACCTGCTGACCAGAATTGACACCCCTATATTTAGAGCTTGATTGGTGAGGGGAGAGTGTTTGTCTTGCCAAGATTGGTTGTTAATTAATTAATCAAAGTGCACTGCAAGTATGCAATTTTGTCTATAATTAGGAAGTTATAAGGAGGCCAATGATATGAGGCATGCATTAATTATTTGATGATTTTTTCAATGAGAGGACTATTTAATCTCTATGATGTTGATTTGCATATAAGTTAACTTTGGGTATGTTTGTTTCTTTGAAATACACATGGATGGTAAAAGAAATACACTAAATAAAATATATTCAGGACATTAATTATTTTTGTCTAGTTTAGAAGTAAAATTTATTTGGTATATTCAAATTACATTTATAAAAATAAACTCGATATGAAATTTAAAATACATTGCTAATTCAATTTGCATGTATTTGCATTCTTTCTAGATCAAATAATAGACATTTCAGAAGTCTCGTATTTGATTTACAATTGCAGCACAATCGCATGGGATCATAATGATTTTATAACATAGACAAATGATATTACATGTTAATTGTGTGTAAATAACTAATAAAGCTTATTAGATAGAAACTAAGCCATGTTTATAATATAATGACGAGTATTGTGTATGAGTGTTCGGACGTAAATCAAAAAATGTAATGATAATAAATATTAGTAACATCAATCATAATTCACAACAAATTTAACATATACAACCATAGTGCCAACAAATAGAATCATCATACATAACCTATACATATAACAACAGTGATAGCAAAGCAAAAGTTCTCAGTGGATAATGATAATTTATATGATTTTATAATAATAATTTATATGTGGATGTAATTATGTAAATTATTATATTTTAGTTATAAATTTTATATAATACACTTATATCTTTAAACATGGAACTATAAAAATTATGAAAAAAAAATGGTTAATAAAGAATACATCATGCACAAAATATATTGATAAAAAGGGTTTGTGAACCAAGACCAAATTGTTCGAACAATTTTGCTTTTATAAGATGCGTTAATTCATTAATGAAATCAAATCTAGTTCAATTTTATAACCATGAAGATCACAAAACATTTAAAAGTTTAGTTAAATTTGAATATAAAATCATTTTTTTTAGTAAAATGCAATAAGATCAATTTCTATATGTTGAAATTCACCTAGGCTAATTCCAACCATTAACAATAACACTAATATTCTTTATCATCAATAAGATTGATACCCACCACTAGCATGAATATCAATGTCGATCATTGTTAATAAATGTGACACTTACTATGCTAACACTAATATTTATCATTATTAATAAGGCTAACGCCCTCATTATCATTAATAAGTCTAACAACCTCGATGTTAAGACTCGACTGACTAGTCTATCTTGACCTTGGTCTGAGCAAGTTCATCTCCTTATCATTCGTTAGATGAATACGCCCTCTATGTAATACTTTTTGGTTATAACTCGCATTAATAGAGCCGCGCTAAGTAGCCTAGACATTATTATGTTTTCATCTCTCTCTCTCTCTCTCTCTCTCTCTCTCTCTCTCTCTCTCTCTATATGTTTTTTTTTTGTTTTTTTACATGCAAGTGGTTTTTTTTTTTTTTTTTTTTTTTTTTTGTGTCGCTCGCCAATGACTTTGTTTGGCAATTGCATTGTCAGTCATGATTCCCTAAGGTCATGGGTTCGAACCAGCCTGAGTGCATCTACCTGCAGTGCTGGATCAAGTGGTTAATCACATTAGCTTGATCGGGGGCTCAGTTCATAGCCTCCGGCCAATCTTAAAAAAATAAAAATTAAAAAATATATATATGTTTCATGATAACCTAACGATATAGAAGTAATGAAAGGATGATTCTTGCCCGTTTATATAGTAATAAATTGATAATTTCAGCAATCATTCCAAAGTCAAAAATGTTCAATGTCGGATTCGAGTTAGCGCAGCCGGCCAACGGTCGGGAACTTCGGCACGGCAGTTAATGGAAAAATTGTAAATTAAAAATTTCGGATTAAATTTTTGCCAGAAAATAATTTCAATTTTATTTTTAAATAAACATTATATATTGATGGGAGTGAGAGCCACACTAAAATTAAATAAATTAACTCAGCTTCATTCTTAAAAAAAAGGTAACATTACACACACGCACGCACGCACACAAACATATGCCGCTCATCGTGACTTTTTGCAGTAACACATCCGTAAGTCCTTCGGGGCCACAGGTTCGATCCCGCCCGAGAGCATCTGTGTTGCAGTGTGAGATCGAGTGGTTAGGCAGATGAGAGTAACTAGAGGCTCGTATGATAGCCTCCGACCATTCTTTTAAATTATGTTTATGCACGCACACGCCTCATTCTCAATCAAATTAAAATTTTCCATTACTGGAACATGGAAATGAAGTTTGAGGTCAAATAATAATATCAAACACAATATATATGTAAGTTACAGAAGGTTACAAGAGGTTATACCGCGGATATAACTCCCTTGTACCATCGGTATAACCCAAATATTGTGTGCAGCGCGGGGTACGTCTGTCGCACGTATTTTTTTTCCGTTTTTAAGATTTCAGAAGTTTGGCAAAAAAAAAATAAACAAATTCAATGTAAAATAGGAATGATTTAGAAATCATTCTTCACTAAATTTTAGGTGTATTTGGATTTCCATAAATTTTGGTGAATTTTAAACACGTAGTTTTATGCAAAGTGTTGTTGGGCCGTTGCCGCCTTGTCTGCATCTGTCTCTGCCTTCGCCGCCGACCACAGGCCCCCAGCCACCTTTGCCTCCTGCCGGCAACCCATAGTCATCAGCCGCTACATTAGATCACCACCACCCACCAGCCACAGCCACCTCCAGCCACCACCGTGCTCACCGTCATTGGCGGCCATCTCCGGCCATTAATTTATAAGAAAATCTCACATAATTTGAAGTTTTCATTTTACTTCAAATTAACCATATAAATATATAGGAAGCCGTGTATTATTTTATTTCAAAGTAAACAATTCTCAAAAAATCTAAATACAGTATATTATATCTCATTGTATTCAATTTATAATTCAGCCGACCAGACAGCCCATAAAACTCAATTCTTGTGTATTTAATTATCAAATTTTGATATTTATACTTACATTATGTTCGTGTCATAAACTTATACATGTAAATATGAATATATTCGTGATAGGGTTGGTGTAGCTCCTGACAGACAAAATTAGAGAAAGTCATCTTAGATGGTTTGGTCACATTAAACATCGACCATCTGATGATCCGATTAGGAGAGTAGATGTTTTAGATTCGACTTGTGTTAAGAAAATAAAGGTAGACCTAGGAAGACTTGGGCTTATTGTATAAAAAATGATCTTAACTTACTAGAACTAAATGAAAATATGACTCTAAATAGGACGCAATGGAGCCGACCCCACGTAGTGGGATTAAGGCTTCATTGTTGTTGTTGTTGCTGCTACGTGTAAATATGAATATTTAGTTGTTAACTATGTAAATACATTAGAACAATTGAAATCCAACAAAAATATATGAGTTTCAAATATTAAATATATTTAAATAAATTTGTGATGAAATAATTATTTACTAATACCTATTTAAGACCATTTAACATTAAAAAACTAACCATGCCAAATATAAAAAAATAGCAATTTAATAAAATAAGGAAAGCTTAGAGTTATTTAAGTGTTTGCATGCTGTTTCTTGAGAGATTCCAAATTTAATATCATAATTACACTTGCAACCAAAACAATGCCATTTGGCGGCTTGAATGATGATTTAAAAAAAATACGCCACGTGTCCTCCTTTTATTGACCGATGATCCTTAAAAATACTGAATTGAATAACACCAGAAATCATTTCAATTATTAATTATTTTGTTGACTGATTTTATGAATTTCACATCTTGATTCATTAATTTTTTAATTAATTCATAAATGCTATGTGAGTTGTTAATTTATATTTTAATAAATTATCATTTAAATTTTATTTTAATTATTTGTCATTTTAAGTCTTTTTGGCACCTCAATGTCGATGTCATCAAACTAAACAATATTGTTAATTTATATTTTAATTTATTATTTTCTTTTATTTTTTTTATGTGTATGGGACAAATATTACTAAAAACTACCTATGAAAAACTCGAGTCAACAATGGGTCTATAGGAGTTACACCAAATTCATCAAATATAAATATAGTATAATCATAAGGTTACTATACTAATGCTATTAATATTAATATTTTGGTTGGATGAGTATAATCCAACTTTTGAATATACTCTTCATTTGGATATTTAGCTTCCTTTCACTAATATAAATAAAGATAATAATAATATCCAAAATTTTCCTCTCAAATTATATATATATACTATATTTTTGCACATTAAAAATATTTAGAATAGAGATGAAGTTTCATAGCATAAACAATTCGAAGTGTTAGTTGAGTATCCCTCTGAAAATATCATAAGTTGCCTCTACAAGCAACCATGCCCCCTTACTTTTAATACATGGATGAAATCAACATGTCCAATCTCTCATTGATTTCACACTGCCTAGAGTATATGTGTCCTCTCTTTACTTTTCAAAAAGA